CATTAATCCAATCTAGTAAAAATAGTTTTTAATCTTATATTAGACTCTGTATTGTAGCAATACATTTGGATGGGATATAGGACGAAAATGCAATGAAAATCTGCTGGTATGTACAGCTGGGTACAAAATACTATGTTTCCAATCAGCTACTGCATGTTTCTTTGATGAGACCAGCTACTAAAAATTTGTGTAAAATGTGAAGAAGAGCAAGATCAGTGATTAAACTGTCCTTTTTTTTTCCTTGTGTGTGCAAGATTAGTCCTGCCATCACAGATAACTGTGCAAAGTCTGGAAATCTAGTACTAAAATTAAATTGTGTGATTTTGTTGCAACAGATGATTTTGCACAAAGGTAAATACAGTTAGGTCAGTAAGGAAAAGTAAAGTTTCTTAGTCCTTTTAAACATAAACCCATTTGTGTTGCAACAGATATGATTTTGCACAAAGGTAAACTACAGTTAGGTCAGTAAGGAAAAGTAAAGTTTCTTAGTCCTTTTAAACATAAACCCATTTTTGTACAAAATTTCATCCAACTGCAAAATTTGTGGGGTGAAGTTTGCATTGCCTCTTTTCCTTTCTATATTTTTCCTCTCCTTCTGTGCTTTTATGAAAGAATGAAATACGAAAGTCTAGATCAACATACATTTAGCTATGGTATTGTAAACACAAACATGGGGAATCTAATTACTTGGTTTTCATGGTCCTCTTATCCTGGACCTGTTACACATAATTGCAGCTCGGCCACCTTTGTTCTGAGAAGAACTGACAAACTGATGCACATACAAAGCCTCACATTTAGGTAAGGACAGAGAAACTGAAAAGCTGCTAGCGGAATCTGTGTTGTGGTATAATGAGCACAGTTGTGATACCTCCACTGCATAATGGCCCCACTTGCAAATTTACCTTTGGAGCCTCTTTGTTGTATTAACTATATTTTTTCTGCTTAATGGGTCTTCACAGCTCAACTTCTATTTAAACACAGAACCTCTTTTACAAGGCGTAAGTGCTACGAAACCTTTCTATAAATTAAAGCCAGGCCATTTGCATCTGCATTTGGGAATGGTTCTGAAAGGGTTTTAAAAGAAATCAATTACAATAATTCATACAAATAAAGATGTAACTGCAAAAGTCAATCCAACTTTTCTTCTCATTATAAGATGTGTGAATGCCAGCTTGTTACTATTCCTGGGGTTTTCTCTACACAGTGATTGTACCATTTTAAGTAGAAGTGTGGAACATATTTCATGTTTGTCAATGCATTTTTTAGTTCACTTGGATTATGATACCTTTGAAATTAAAGTGCAGCAGCAGTTCCTGAATGATTAATAAGTAGACATTTTTACTCTGAATTAGGTACAACTAATTCTTGTTTATCTTAATCCAAAACTAAATGATATCAGAGTGGAATGGATTCTTATTATCTGGAATAAAAATGGGTCATACCATAGTGTAAGAATATTGGTTACTGAACTAACATTTAGACTGAAACCTAATTAAGCACAAAAATTTCCTTATAGGCAGATCAAGTCTGATATCCTACATTTCCCCTTCCCACAGCATAGGCACCCTCATTGCAAGGAAGTTCATTGGAACATCTCTGAAAACCCTCGTACATCCTGCAAAAATAATCATGGTCCCAGTCCTTCAGTGAGCAAGTAATCAATTGCTGCTCTGCAGCAGGGAGCCACACAGCCTTCAGACTACTCAATAGACTGCATGTGGCAAAAAGGGAACACTGTGCAAAGGGTGTGAATGAGTCATTCGACATTTCAGGTTGACTGAAGTCATTCTGCTACATTTATTTCCAATCTTGATGTGCTATCCACATTTGCATATTAAGCAGGATGGGAAGAAAGATTTAAATTTTTTGCTACAACACATGCATGGAACACAGCAGACTGCATGTGTGTGAGAATGAGAGATTACATGCATGCTTGGGTGAGCACAGCATCATGTGAAGTGCCTCTTCTACCTTCATGCAGGAGCAGGCTTTCTACTTGCAAGCCTGAACACATCTCAGCAAACGTTATGTTTGAGCCTGTGTTATCTCTAGGGAGCTGAATATAAAGGAAAGATGTTCATTGGCAGTGTGCCTGAAGAAAGGAAGGGAGGTCCCATGAGCATACTTCAGGTGATGTGTGTTGTGTTTTCTTTGGCAAATACAAATCTGAACGAGCTGGTCCATGTACACTTGAAGGGGTAGGTGTGTGAGCTGGGTGCCTGTGGGTGACAAGGAGCACCCAAGAGCGTGAGCAGGTGTCAGCTGAAGCTGGAATTTATACATTTGTCAAACATCATTAGCAGTGAACCACCTACTTAAAGATTTCCATGGAAGGAATACGTGGCAGCCTCTCGAAGTATTCCACTGTAGATGCCTTCCCACTATCCTGCAAGTTATTGATAGCACACTCAATTAACCTTGGGGACAGAATACAGAATGGACACTGTCTCTCTCAGTTTCAGTCATTTTTGCTCAGTGACACAGTTTGCATACAAACCACTGAGGAGTTAAATCTCCAAGTAGAAGTGCTTTAATGAAAACAAAAGTGCACATTCATGACATTTGTATTTGTATTAAGCCTTGTAAGCTTCATTATCTGAAAGCCTAAATGTTGGACCAAGTTATTGCAGATTATGTCCCATTAAGTAGCGAGTGCAATTCTAGTTCCAAAAGTTTAGAGAAAATGTACTCTTAGATTTGTTTGGCTGGCAATGGCAGGCATATTATTGCAATTCCAATTTACCCACTGTGCTTGTATTGGCTTTGTATAGAAGATAAAATGGAATGAGGTGAAAATCCAATTTTTATTAGTAAGTCCACTTCAAGGCACTTCTTGAGGAAAAGATCTAGCAACTACTGGAATTTGTGATGCAATTAGGGGAGACTCCACACCAAAGGCCTTTGTAAAACCCTCGAGGGTCTTGAGCAGCAGTGGGAACTCCAGATGTGCTGAGGATATCATAGTTTAGGTAATCTGGGCAGAGGCACAACATGATCTACAACAGCTACAAGGAAGTTCACAGATCCCCTGAGAAGTGGCTTTGGTCCTACCAGCTCACTTTAACATAAAAGTATGATTATTTTACCTTGATTTTGTTCTAAGACTGAGAAATGGATGTGTATATATTTAAAGAAGCCAGGTGTTACATTGAACATCACATTATGGTCTATGAGGGGAGGAAAATAAGTTATTTCTTCCACAACAAAATAAAACACCGTGCACAGTTGTTCCTACAAGACATGCTCCAGAACACACTCTGCTGATATCAGTGCTGTCATCTAAGGATCATCTCATGAGGAAGAGTTGGGGAAAAAAATGTAAAAAAAAAAAATCAGGGAATTGATATCTTATTTGTTGAACTCTCTTATATAGTCTGTTGGACCACTTATTGTGTTAGATCTTTTCTCCTTAGCCTTTCGCTGTCTTTCCTACTCATGGCAAATCACTTGAAGCAAATGGCATTTTTCCATACAGTGCTCTGTAACAAAAACCAGTGGGTCAGAGCTGTCTGTAGAATCCTACAATAAGTAGATTAAAAGGGATTTGTGGCGATCCTGCAGTTCAAGCCCCTGCCCACAGCAGGGTTAATTTTGAAATCACACAAAATGAGAATGTAACCTCATCTTTCTACAGTGACTACACTAATGAAACACAAGTCTCATTCTGGCAATGATATAAATCATACACATGCCTAGAGTAAAGACATATGGAAGTCATTTAGGTAGAAGACCTGCATTAAATTATTTGAGGTTTCCTTTCAATATGCATTCATAAGATGGCACTGACTGCATTGTTAGACTCAAATTATAAAGCATGTATTATCAAAACACACACTAAAATGAGGCTACCATTACAATCGTTATTTCCCGAGTTCTATATGCTGAAGACCCTCATTACATAGTTTCAAAAATGTGATTATTTGTAGATGGAATTCAGGAAATAACACAGAAGAGGCAGGAAGGGGAAAATACCAAACTGGAAAAAACGGCTGCTTTACTCGGCACAGTGGAAAACACTACATGTCATGTACCTCATGAAGGTGTTCCTCTTCTAAATACTTAGAAAGTCTGCAGAAGCAGGTTTTGAAAGTCAGAAGCTGTAGGAACTGTGCAGCTCTTGTCCTTCAAGATGCATTTTGATCATGGCAAGGCTTTTCTCACAGGCTGTGCAGTGAGAAAATTGCCAGTGGCAGGAATTACTCGTCACGAGACTTAAACAAGGCCCATGCACTGCTACATGGAGGTTTAACCAAGAAAAACAGGGATTAATGTGATTACTTCCATGATGAATGAGATTATTTTTTTTCAAATTGAATACATCTAAAAACTTTATCAACACTGCAATTCTGCTTCCATAAGGAAAAAAAATCAAAACCCCTGTTATCCTCACCGCACTTCCATTTTCTGCTCTGTATCAGTTTCTTGTATCTACTTTACTTGCATTCAGATTTAAGGACTACAATGTTCAGATTCATTACTACTGCATATCTTGCTATATTTAATTATGGCAGGCTGTCTCTTTTGCCTTGACAGATAAGCCTTGTCTTTTAGTTTAGCTTTACAAAAATGATTATACTTAATAAAGTGATTTTGTAAAAGAAGCTAATCCACAAAGCATTTACTGAATTTTGGAATACTGTTTTCTTGGTTTCTCTGTCTGATGGTGGTTGGACTTTGCTCATCTCTACAGCTTAGAAAAGAAAGCAGTGGATGCTCAGCCCTTCTGAAACTTGAGTCAGTGAAGCATCCAAGATTGCAGAGCAGAAGATGATGCATTCAAAACCACTTCCTAAAAATATCATGCCAGTATTTACATTGAAAAGGAGAATAACATTTCAAAAGAACATTCTGCTCAAAAGTTAAAAACCATTTCAAGCAAAAAAGTTAAACATATAAACAAAACTGTTCAAAACAGCAGTAATTCATTAGGAAAATAACCACTGCTCATTCCAAGAGATTCCCAATGCATTTCACAAATCATTAATTATATTCAGACTCACTTTGAGTAGCTGGTATCCTGATAGGCTCCATCGGGATGGGGATGCAGCAGTTCTAGACACAGACCACACTGCTGTATAGCTTCTCCCTGGTGTGTTTTAAAGAATTACAGCTGTTCCTTTGCCTTTGCTTGCTAAAACTGCCCAGCACTTTAATGAAGAAGCTCTGTTTTGAGCTTTGGTGTTTTTTCCTGCAGCCTCACTGAAAATAACACTTCTCTGGACATGCCTGGTATGGGTTAGTTGAACTGGTAAGTCTGAATGTTAAAATATGATGACTGTGTCCTTTGACCCCAGCTTTACTCTGGAGGAGACCTCTAGTTTGGTGGCTGCTTTCCCTGACTCTATTTATCCCTTAATCTAACAATGAAATCCATCCTCCAGTGATTTTCAGGAGTGCACAGCAGGTTAGGAGCAGAAGCAACGACTGCCCAATTAAAATTGAAATGTCAGATATGCGGAAGGCAAACTGTAATCAAACTGACCTGCCTGGGTTATCAGGGCAAGATGCCTTTAGGCTTATGCAATTAGCTGAAGGATAATTGATGACCACAGGCAAGCAACCTACAGATGCAGGTTTCATGTGCAAGAAGTGTGCTCGGTACTGACTCAGAGAAAAGGGCTTGACTCTGTTTGAGTCAAGCACTTCCTAAATCACTGAGGTTTTCCTTAGAAATCTCCCCAAAATTACCAGCTGAAATCACAAAGCAGTGGCTACAAGTGTGCTACCATTCCCAGTGTCTCTGTATGGTGTGCAAGGAATGGTAAAATCTGTTCAGCTGGCGGTGGGGACAAAAGGGTCCTTCAGTTGAGGGTGGTGCCCTGATGACTTATTACAGTGGGACAAAATAAAAGGAGATATGGGGAGCTTTAAGGCACTACCAAAGAAAAAGAAATCAAGCCAGAAAAAGGAAGGGTTTTTTTTCTGGTGTACTGAAACAACTGCACTGGGAGAGCTCCTCATCCAAACAAGCCATCTTTCCTCCCTTCTATTTCCCACTCTTCCTTTACCCCTCTCTTTAGAAAGAATTTTCTGAGGCCCAGGTTTTCTTCTGCTATGACTTTGCCTGCATCTTGTGAACTATGCGTTTAGCTGGTTTTCTGTTTTCTTTTTTACAGCAAGACAACCACTGCTTATTAAATTGCCTATGAAATTATTACTGAGCCGTTGGAGGTATAGCTCCAAGGAGGCATATTGCAATTTGCACAGCTAGCTACAATGCCATGAAATCACCTGTGCCTTTTCTTCCCTGAGATTCCATATGGAGCAGTACACCTGGAGAAAACCACTTGACTATTAAACACTGCTTGTTTTTGACAATGAAGATATAACTTCTAGCACAGAGCCTCCAACGTCAGCAGTGTCTGAAAGTAAGTTGAAGCTTTTCTGTAAAAGAACTAATTAATAACAAAGCTCAGGATGCTTAAACAACTGACCCTCAAAAGCCCTGGGGATTTAAGAAAGTATTTCTGAACCCATTCCACAGTTGCAGTTATTAATGAATGATTAATTTCTACAGACATCATCTTGTGTTTGCTTCAACCTTGTTTGCTCCAGTAACTTCTACAGTCAAGGGAAACAGTCAGAACAATGTTGAAAACTAGTTAGAAAATAAAAATAATTCAATTAGTATGTACTATGGAGGTACTAGTCATGTCTGTGTACCTTCAGCTGACCTGAGCTTTGAACTTAAAATACAAATTCAGTGGTTTTGCTATGTATGAGAAACAGTATACATTAAGAATTCCAGCATTAACTCTATGGGCACACAATGAATTTCCTGAGACATAAATCTATTACATATAAATCTATTAATCTATTACATGTAAATATATTAAATAATTTACTGAGTAAAATTATTCTTAAATACGGGTTTTCTAAGAAACTTGACACTTTGGGTTTGATCTTTAATTTGTTTTTATGGCCACAATAATGGAATAATTAATCCAGATTTTTATTCTGCTTAAAGATCACAGAAATCTTGCATAGACAACACGTGAAGATTTTTTTTCTAAGGTTTTTTTACCTTTACAATACTTTTAATTAGAAAATTTCCCTTCATAAAACACTCGGAGTTTGATTTACTCCTTCTGATGATGCTACAAATAGAGCTTTCAAGACACCTGAACTGCCTACAGTTAGAATGGTCCTTTCAAAATGTTCATTACTTCACACCAGGCTTCTCAGTAGACAGTAGAACCTCCACTACCTTTAAGCAGGAGCAGTTGGCTTTACTTCTGCTGGAAACAGAGTGAAGAGCTGCTGCTCGGAATGAGGAAACTCCGTGAGCAGCAGCGTCAGCCCCGCTGAAACTGCTTGCTCTTATGTCATGAGAAGGGAAAAATATTTTCTTGAAGATCATTTAAAGCTAACCTGACAACACAAACATTCAGAGGTTTTCATTACTGAATGGGCTTGTTACAGCAAATGGAGCTGAGAGAGAGAGCACTGAACCTTTTAGGCACATAGTACAGGTGTCATTACTTGGGGTGCAGGGCACAGCAATACGTGCTGTGTCAAACCAGTAGGCAGAAGATGCAAGGGCTGCACATGGCCTCTGCTGAAGGTAATAACATGATTATGACACTGCTGATGTAATTTTTTGCAATGTAATATTGCCTGTCTTTCACTCCCTTCTACCGAGAATGTAGCAGTACTTGATGGCTTCAATGAATTAAGATTCATTTTCTGTCGAAGATGGGAAAGTATTTACAGACTAGACTCAGTTATCTTTGAGAGTTGAGGAAATTGGGAGTTTTTTTTTGTTTTGATAGATTTAATCTCAGAGATCTGTCACACTATTAGAATTATCAAGAAAGTGCAGTCCAAGCAGTGTAATGACAATACAGCTTGAAACTTGATAATACCACTTGAAACTGTAAACTAATCTCCCTGAAAGAATTAGAAAGTATTTCTTCCATCCCCGTGTGGAGCTCTGCACGTTTGGTTCATAGAGGGTTCGGTCACCTTTCTCAGAATCAATATTTTTGACCACTGCTAGTGAAGTGTAGTGGATGTGAAAGACAAACAATGTGATGTGGTACAGCCATGTACAAACAGCGAGAGAGAAGCCTCCAGTGTCCTGGCTTTAGACGCTCTACACTTCGCATGAAAAACAATTACCAGAGCCTGATTACGCACAGAGACAATTTCAGAAGTTGGTCCATACCCTAAGATAATCCCTGTTTGGATTGCAAGTGCCTCTGACCTGGAAACATGATGTTATTTATGTAGCTAGATTTTAAAAATAAAAAAAGGAATGTCAGAGTTCCGAGGGTTCAAGTTCGTACTCTACTAGTTACTGGTGGATTTTTCATGACAAGATAATAAAATGAAACAACTGGGGAACTGGAAAAAAAAGACTAGAGAATGTAAGGCATACAATGCCTTGGGGGGAAAAAGTGGCATGTTATTAGTACTGTACACTGCTCCAAAAAGATAAAGTCATTTATAAAAAAAGACTGAGTTGGGGAGAGAGAGGAAGGATGGATCTGAGAATTCCAAGAGAGGTAAAAAAGTTTCATCATATGTTAGCACATGATGTTCTTTTAGGCATTTAACTAATTTTCTTTTACCTCATAATATTTGCAGTACTGACCTCTGATTTTAGAGCAGGGATAATGTGTCCATTCTTAGCAAGCTTATTCCTCAAAGATTAGTCCCTCCTGCGTAGATATTATTTAAAAGGTACTTTAGCATGTTTCTCCAATTAGCAGAACAATTAAAAAAAAAGCAACAGGAAGAATTCAGACTATTCCAAAACATTTTTTTTTTAAAATTCTCATCTCTCTGAAATCCTTCTAGAAATAATAGACAGCAACTGTGCTTCAGGGAGAGCATTCAGGGCAAAAGTCAAAAGAAAAGGAAGACACCCTTCCTCTCCCCTAGATTACCCAGTGGGGTCAGTTCAACATCCCTAGGACAGTAGCAATCAACATCAGAAGCATTTGAGTACAATATCAGCCACTTAGAAGGGCTGCACCATGGGAATTAGTTTGTGTCTTGAACCATGAAATTTACAGTACACACATTTGTTAGCTTAGCTGATGTCTCTACCAATTCTACTCACATTTGTACATGTCTCTTGCCCTCACCCCCCCTTTAAAAAAGCACTTGTTTAGTGGTGAGAAAAGAAGAGTAGGAATCCATTTTGCAAGTCCATCTCGCTTAAATATTTGCTGTGCATTTATGGGCAAGTCACTTCACCTCTCTGAACTGTAGGACACATTTAAGAAGTTCAGTGCAGCCATACCCCATTCATATTTCAATAGAATGGGTACCAAAACCCATAATACTGCCTTCTCAGGGCAGCAGGGGTTTTTTTGCAGATTGTCAAGTTAGGCCGGTACAGCTTTAGTGCTTCTGTCATCTCAATGTCTTCACACTCACGTACACGGGCCTGATTATAAAGTGAAAGTGTTCACACTCACCTGTCTTAAAGGCTGGGCAAAACACCCATTAATAGGCAAAAATGTGTGCAGACATTAAGCTGAAAGGCTTGTGCAGGAAAGACAGTTACTGATGGTAATATACTTCCTTTCCTGCTGGCCAAATATACAAAGAATGGTGGAAAGCTAAGCTAAAAAGATGCCAAGGACTCTTTCAAGGGAGCTACAAAATAAAGTTTTTGGAAAGGAATTGAGGGACTTATGCAGAACGTTTGTGCTGACTGGGATATGGCTGACAGTCAACCCTGAGCTTTAAATCAAGTGTGTTGCCATCATTATATTGAACATAGATGTGGCACTTTGGGACAGTGGCTTAGCAGTGAACAAAGCAGTGCTGGGTTAACAGTCAGACTCGATTTCAGGAGGCTTCTCCGACCTTAACGATTCAATGATTCTATAGAGAAATTTGAAGAACTGATAAAAGACATAATTGCTACATTCTTCTTAGACCAAAACCAGACTTCGGAGATGAGGAAGAAAGGTAGAAGAAATCAGGGCCTGATTTAGATTTATAAAAACCTAAGCAAACTAAAATGAGGCCCGAAGGCCCAGGCATATCAACTGTTGGTAGCAATAGCTCCTTACTTGTCAAACATGTAGTGTTTTGTCAGCCACAGTGGGTAGCTTCTTCTAATTGATA